TGGAACATTTTGTGTTTAGAGGTGCAGAGCATCAAGCAGATTTAGTTTGATTCCGTAGGTAAGGAGCCATGGGTTCTGTAGCCCCTTGCAGTAAAACTCAAAAAACAGCAATATGGAAATAGTTAATATGAAGCAGAGTCTTTCAAGTCATCAACTAGCTTAACATGGCTGATTTATTTTTTAGGGAAAAAAGCAGTTTATTAATCACAGATGTGCATGTTTCTAGTGTTAAGAAAGCTGGGACTAGAATGAGAATTCCCATTTCCCTTCCCATTTCAAAAATTTGCCTGTTTGTTTGAGGTAACTTTATCTTCTAGTTTGAGGGGGTCAGAACCCATGCTGCCTGCCCTTTAGCTTCAAAAATATATTTATGGACTCTGAGTGAACCCTCTGACCTCACTACCAGAGCAACATATGTGGTTTTTACTTTCAGGGAAATGGCAGTTAAATGCCTTCTTTTCTTATTGTGGCTATGAATTATAAAACAAAGCCCATCCATTAGGGCTTTACTTTATTGAACTTTATTGAATTGCGAAACTTTCTCTACTTGAACAAGTAGTGGTTTTATTAAATTCAATAGTTTCTTGTTGGGTTGGTGTTGCTGTGTGTGATCTCTATATGTGCGTTGGGTTTTTCTTCTCTCCAAGATGTCCATCTGTTTCATTTATCTTTTTCTAAAAGGGAGTCTGATTCTCACTAGAAACTTTACTGTACTTGAAACACATTTGGGGTTAGCATACCCCAAATTTATTCCATCTGTTTTGGTTTTAAAATTCCATATTGTTCTCAGTTCAATTTTGAATACTCCTTTTTTCCTCTTAGCATGTCTTAGAGATAAAATATTCTTGAGCAAGGCTAGAAAAACAATTTTCTATGTAGTCATAAAGGAAACAAAGCTGATTTAGTGTAAACAATCCCAAGCATGGTAATCAATCAAACCAAGTCTGTATCCCTAATTATATAGATAGAAGTAGTTTATAGTGATGGGACAGGGAGAAATGAGACACTCCCGTGGGGCCCTTCTCACAGTGAAGGTGAAAAGTGCTGTGCTTTTGAAAATGCTTGTACTGGATATTGATATTCCCTAATGCTTCGATTTGGCAATGCCTCTACATGAATGCATCAACATGGGCACCCAGGTTTTGTACATGACTGTGCTTTAGTATTGTTAACTGGGGTCCTGAAGAAACAGATGGGAGTGAGTAAGTGGAAAATCTGGATGCCTGTTGGCTGGGGTGGGATGGGAAAATAGATGGTATAGGGTCTCACTGGGAAAACGTTGACATGGAATATTTCTAGCGAGTGTTAACTATGAGGTTTTAGAGATGTTTTCTGCAAATTTAAGGAAGGGCAAAAAGTCATATCTTATCTCTTAAGAGACCTAGTGGGCTGGTATTCTTTTCAGGTTAACACTAATGATTTTAAATCTCCATTTTTAATGCCCTATTTAATAAAATTTGATCTTTGGGCTGATGCTTTTATAGCAATGAAGTATTTTCATTTCTTTTAAGAAGAGATGTTATCAATGCATAAAAGTATCTTAAGGATGGATTTCAGGGAGATGGGTCCAGGCTCTTTTTGGTGTCCAGTGACAGGACAGGGGGCAATGGGCTTAAACTGAAACATAGAAAGGTCCATCTGAATATGACAAAGAGCTGCTTTACTTTGGGGCTGGCAGAGCACGGAAACAGTTTGCCCTGAAAGGTTGTGGAGTCTCCTTCTCAGGAGATACTTAAAACCAGCCTGGATGCAACCCTGTAAACCCTGCAGTGGGCAGGGATTTTCCTTCTCTGAGAGATTTCAGGCTTTAAAGAGCAAAGTGGAACAGTGCTATCATTTCAGTGTACTACTTACATGATGTCCACTTTTGTGATTCCCTGAAGCCCTAATAATACTTCAATAAGGATTTCATATTAAATCATGCAGAAGGGAAGATAAGAAGCAGTTACATGCTGCGCGCCAAATGAAAACTAATGTTGTGTGGGAGGATATGGCTGAAGTATGTGCTGCAGAACATGTCTGGTTTACATTGTTTTGTCTCTTACATCCTCTCTGCTTGAGCACAGTCTACTTATTTCTCTGTGCTCTTTTCCTTCTGCTGCCCACAAACTCTTGGCTGACTTGGGTTAAGAGATAGGAGCGGTACAGCAGAAGTACAGTCAGACAAAAATACTTGCCTTCCCCAGTTTCAGGGCCTCTGTCCTGCACTGCTTGGTTTTACAAGAAATTCAGTTGTTGCTAAGTGTAGCTTGTCAAAAGGATGTGTGAAAATCTGAGGAGGTGGAACACAGTTTATAAAAAGAAGGGGTTTATTAACTGGAAGCATGTTACGTGCTTAGGAATAAGCACATTTATGTAAAAGTCAATTGTATGCAATCAGTTACTGCACCACCATGCTGCCTTTTTGTTAGAAAGAAATAATTGCAAAGAAAAGAAATGCAACAGATATACAAAACAGTACATAGTGGACTTCTGCAAAGGCTTAGTTTTTTCTTCTTATGTAAACGAGTGAATGTTCTCTATTTTATTTGCGTGGAAGGAACCTTTTATGAACTGTTATTGAGAGGAACACTATATACAAATGAAAGAAAAATTTGGCTGACTAGTTATAACATCTTCAAGCTTGGTGTTTTGGAAACAAGGCATTTAGTTTGTTAGCTTTAAGAAACTTACAAGTACACCACCACTGTTTTCTCATCTTCTGTAATCCGCTAGCAGAGTAGCAGAAGGTTATTTATTGAAATACCCATCAGCTGATGTTTGCTGTGATTTCTGAAACAAGGCATCTGATAATAATTAAAAATGCATGATGCAGTAAAGGTAAAGATAAGTTTGGTGAAAGAGCAGTCAAACTAACTCTTTACAGAGGTTTTATAGAAGATTGTTTGGATTCCTGTGGAGAGATTGCAGATGGTTGCAAGTTTTGTTTGGAATTTTTTTAATAAGCAGATCAGGGTTTTTTTAATAAAGTCAAAAATCTCTCATGATGTGGATGCTGATGGCTAGTAGGCTTGCTTTTCTTGCATGTGTGCTGAGAACCCTTAAGCACTAATCCCAGTGCCTTGAGGGATACTCAGATTGAAAGTTGAAAACCATTGTTATAGTTAATTAATTTCTTCCTTATGCTTTCCACCTCAGCAAGAAAATAATGTAGCAGTTCTTAGCACTGCTCTCCCAAGATTTAGGGACAAAGACATCTAGTGTTGCTCTGCATCTGCTTTTTTGCTGACACCCATCACTTAAAGCCTTGAAGCCAGGTTAATGGCACCATGTGAACTCTCCTTACCTATGTGCACAACACTACAGCTGTTACTGGAGGATAATTCTGCAGGTGTGACTTGGTTTAAAGAGTTAGCAGCTAGCTTGTTAGACTGAAATTATGCCTTTTAAAGTTTGTTTATCTTCAGCTTTGTGGAAACATGATGAAAGTGGTGGTTAACAGCAATTAGTATGTGTGTGCTCATACACTATAAGCTACAAATGTTCTTGGCATCCAAGCTGATGTATCTTAATGGTGACATGCCATGGGTTTTACTGGAACAGAGACGCATTTTCATAAACAGCATGATAGATCATATTTTGGATTCCTAGGAAAGGGTGTCCTTTGTGAAACAGCTTGAACATGAAGGAAAAATAAAAAGTCCTATCTTTTTATATCCACATTTTATGTGTCTTTCCCCATCTGCATTTGAAACCATCATTTATACTTAGTGCTCCTCGGAAATGGAACAGCCTCACATATTTGTGTGTGGATCCAAGCATTTGGATGTTTATGATTAAGTGCATTACTACATCAATGTGACCATATTATTCCAGAAAATTCAAACTATCTCTGGTCAGACTGGCAATACACCTCTTAGGGAAAAGCAGCCAGAAGAGGTGACCTGAACATCTGTGTCAAGCTTCAAGAAGGAGCACAAGCACTGCATTGAACTCCCAGCAGTAGAAACATTCAACAAAACATTTTTATGTCATCCTTATGTAAACTATCTGCCTGCAAAAGTGCATACACAGGGAGGGAAAAACTCCCATATTTAACAGCCTAGTATAGCTTTGCCAATACACGAGTGGTAGACAATATTTATGAGAGTGGTGCTACAAGAATGTTTCCAGGCCCCCACTTCACCCCCCCCCAGAAAAGAGTATTTTTAGGAAAAGAGAGTTGCTGTGGGGAGCAACATTGTGCTGCATGGGGAAGAAAAGAAATCTAGTCTCACAATTGCTAAGCAGTGGGTGTTCATCATAAGTATACAGTCCTGGTCAAGTGACAGGAACCTTGGTGGGAAAGTGTTTTTGACCTCATGCACATTAAACTATGGCTTGAGAAAAGTGTATCCTTTGTTTCATTACAGAACTTCCAAGTGTGTCATGCTGAGAACTACTGCTGATCTTGATATTTCAGCAAGTGGGCTTTTAAACATTGCTTTGTGCCTTTTTAAGAAACAAACAAAATAAAGCCAAAACTCAGAGAGAATTTAAGCAAAAGACAAGCATTTAACTGTCTTCTGGTTTCTTCTTCCCTCTATCACAAGGGTAGGGGAAATACATAAGTAATGGAAGTAATTGGAGCATTTGTAATTAAATTTGGTGTTTGAAAAATGATTTGCTTATCTCATTGAGGCAATTATTGTTACCCTTCATCTTTGCTCAAAGCAATTATCATTAAAAGATAAGCATATCCTTCCATAAAGTTACATCACATATGGAAAGTATAATTCACTATCAAATAAGTATCAGCAGTGGGAAGTAGGAATTATAGTTGAGGCAGGAACAACTTAATGAAGCTTGACTGTTCTAAACACATCAGTGGTGCTTAGGCATGGATGGCCACGTGCAGCATGAGCACCGATAGCTGCGGTGTCATTAAAGGCCAGGTTACCTCAAAAAAATCTCACTGATTTGTCCATAAATTCAATTCCATATCCATTATTACATACATCCATTTGTCTTGTTTCTCACTTGCTTCAGCTTTAAAGTGCTCCCCTTGTTCTTTTTTCCAGACTCCCTTTCAGTCTCCAGCAATGACGCCAGTCCTCCCGCTTCCGTAACGTCGCTTCAGCCCCACATGATCGGTGCTCAGAGCTCCCCGGGCCCCAAGCGCCCTGGCAACACCTTGAGGAAGTGGCTCACCAGTCCTGTGAGGCGCCTGAGCAGTGGGAAAGCAGATGGGCACGTCAAAAAACTGGCCCACAAGCATAAGAAAAGCAGAGAGGTGCGGAAGAGCGCCGATGCAGGCTCTCAGAAGGACTCCGACGACAGCGCCGCGACCCCACAAGATGAAACTGTTGAAGAGGTGAGTGCTCGAGGCAGCTTCCCGAGACTTGTGTGTATGTTTTCCAGGGAAATAAATGTTGGCAGGTGCAGGTTGTCTCCTCACCTGACTGTCCAGCAGTCAGGAGCAAAGTGTTAGGTACCCTATGCTCATCCTGGATCCCTGTACTCTGTGCCAGGGACAGTCTGTGCCCTGTGAGACTGTTAGTGAAGCACCTATAATTTAAAAAGAGAAACTGGAGAATAAAAAGTTGTCCTTTGGCTTTACTCTCTTACACTAATTAGTACTCACCTTTACATGTGAGTAAAGGTGCTTCAAGGTCTGGAAATAACCAGGTAATTTTGTATTTCCTTTGCTTTTCTTGTTGATGGATCAGGGAAAGTGTAGGGAGAGCTGCTTAACTGCTTAAAGCTCTAACTGCACCTTGCATAAGGGTCAGAGCACAGAAAAATTACTGGCTCTACGATGCAGGCCAGTTACCACTAGTCAATTAATATGCATGGCAGTTTTCATTGGAGAGAAGGAAATTGTAAACTGTTCCAAATTTTACCACCAAGGATGTCTACTGAGGGCTTCCCTTCTTCCCACAAACATCTGCCTCTCCTTCCAAATCTGGGGTTCTTGTATGAACAAAGCTGGCCTCCAGTTAGGTGCAGACAAGAGCCAAATTCTCTGTTGCAAACCTATGGTTCAGGCTGAAATGAATGTGATGTTATTGTTCCAAGGGCACAGCTGGGTGCATGTTATTCCCTTTTATTAGATTGACTCTGACTATTGGTTTTGGTACTTAACCATCCAGAAAAGTGGTCTCAGTTGCCCATTTTTTTATTTATTGCTGCTTTTTTTTTTTTCTTCCTCCCAACATATTTTGGTACACAGTTGGAACACTTGTGAAGATCCACAGTAAGTGTAGGGAAAGGGAAGACAGAAGACTTGGCAGCATGATGAATTGAGAGATGTTGGTTAGGAATGAATACTGGCCTCTGACCTTGAATGTCAAGCTGTAGAAAGAGACCCTCTGTGCTGCAGTTGTAACATTGTTTTGTCAGTATCTGTTGTTCTGCAGTTCTGTGAGTGAAGGGGAAAATTTAAGGCCAGTGCCTTAAAGTCAGGAATAAAAAGTAACCATCTATGCTGTCTGCCTGTAAAGGCAGATAAATTATTCTGTGAGATCAGTACATTATACTTTGGGTACTTGAAATCAGAGTTCCTTGTGAAGGACAGAAAGGATAATTGATTAAATACTTCATGTTGTAATAGGGTTTTTTTATGTCCTCCAAAAGTCTTGCTGTGATACAGAGCAGAGCAAGATACATATTTCAGAGAGATACAGATTTCTCTTTGCAGAACTGAACTTGGAAAACAAATACGGCTTTCATAACACTTTCCTGTCGTAAATTTCAGCTGAATGTCTTTTTCTTAGTATTTGAATTCTTTTGCTTTTACCAGACATTGAAAACTGTCTTTGGCATCTGCATTTTCCCCCTCTGTTAAGGAGTGTTTGAAGGAGCATCTTGACTTGTTGGGAGAGGGCTGAAACTACAGAATAATCTTAAAACGAGCATGTGATAACAAGCTTCACTCTGGTGAGATAACAGAGCTTGAACATCTTGATGTTGTTTACAGAGGGGTCGGAATGAGGGGCTGAGCAGTGGCACTCTCTCCAAGTCATCCTCTTCAGGCATGCAGAGCTGCGGGGAGGAGGAAGGCGAAGAGGGAGCAGATGCTGTGCCGCTGCCTCCTCCCATGGCAATCCAGCAGCACAGTCTGCTCCAGCCCGACTCGCAGGATGACAAGGTAGGAGCAGGACCTGGGGGAGGCTTCACATGATGAGAGAACCTCTGTTTGCACAAATTTTTCTTCTCTTCCAAAGGTCTCAAAAATGTACATAACACAGCTTCATGGTAGACAGAAGAAATCACTTGTGCCCTCTAGACAACTTTAAAAGGGTGTTCTATGATGAGAGCATGAATTAAATCCTTCTCTATTTTAAAAGCACAAGTGTAGAAATTTTTCTGCTAGCACTTTAAATGTGGAAATGAGCTGCTTTGTGTGCTCACAGGATGATTTACATCACTTTGGCTGATGCCATATTTACTGATTAGAGTCTAATTGTTTTATAATCATACCTTTTCTTTTTCTTGGTTTTTGTTGGGTTTTTTTGGCGGGGGAGGGGACAGAGGGAGGGAAGGGGGCGATGCCCAAGAGCAAGGAATTAGCAAATAAGAATAATAATTGTCATGGTTTAACCCCAGCCAGCAGCTAAGCCCCACATGGTCACTGTCCCACTGTCTCTGGGAGAATCAAAAGGGAAAGAGTGAAAAAACTCTTGGGCTGAAATAAAGATAGTTTATTGGTAAAGCAAAAGCGATGCACACAAGCAAGGCAAAACAAGGAGTTCATTCACCAGTTCCCATAGACAAGCAGGTGTTCAGCCATCCCCTGAAGAGCAGGGCTCCATCACGTGAAGCGGTAACATTAGGAAGATAAATACCATTGTTCCAAATGTCCCTCCCTTCCTTTTTCTTCCCAGCAGCTTTATATGCTGAGGATGATGCCATATGGTCTGGAATATCCCTGTGGTCAGTTGGGGTCAGCTGTCCTGACTGTGTCCCCTCCCAACTCTTTGTGCCCCCCCATTCTCATCACTGCTGGGGTGGGAAATAAAAAAGGCCTTGGTGCTGTGTGAGCTCTGCTCGGCAATAGCTAAAACAACCCTGAGATATCAGCACTGCTGCCAGCACAAATCCAAAACGTGGCCCCGTACCAGCTACCGTGAAGAAATTTAACTCTGTTCCAGCCAAAACCAGCACATAATCCATCTGTTTTTCACAAACAAAGGCACATTAAAATTGATGCTAAAAATTTCGCACCGGTAATAAAACTTTGGATGTAGGTAGTAACTACATGAAGCAAATCTTACTTGCATATGATCTGTTTTTCTTTAATGTTATGATGATCATACATTGAGAGAGTTTATTTCAATTTTGAACTGGGATCAGACATTTAAGGGATAAGTATCAGATCTGGAAATATAGGGGTTTAAAATGGAAATAATCCAGACTTGTGCAGCAAATCTGCACATTGTTTTCTTGCCATTTTGTTCCTTAAAATTTTTAATTTTGTAAAATTGTAATCTACAGCACTGAATATTGTTAGTGAATTTTGTGATTGCTTGCTGTCTGTTCTCAGTGGTGCTGATGTTATTCATAACTTTAGTGGATCTTATTTATTTTTTCTTTCATTTTTTTTCTTTTAAAAACACTGCCTTTCAGTGGGAATCTCACTCCTTCCTGAGGCTGTTGTTTGTAGGGCCAAAATGGCTGGTTCTTATACTCTGTTTGTATTCAATTCCTACGTGTCTTCTGATTTGACATAGTGTAACATAGGAGTTGAGGAGTTAATATATTGGGAAATATTCCTGAAACAAAACAAGCAAAAATAGGCCAGCCTTCAGAGCTTGAGAGAATGTTTTCTTGCTAGAGCAATCTCAGTTTTAGATTTAGAAAGAAGATGAAAATAATGTTGGTGGAAATATGTTTAAGCTCTTGCTGATGAGCTGCCATATTTGCACGTTCCTTCAGTGACAGAAAACAACTGTTATACAAATATTATAACAAGTTTTCCACAGAAAAATTAATTTGGTTATAGACTTCTTCACAAAGCAAGAACACTGACATGAAGGGATATGCTTGTAAGCTACTGTCTGCTTACTTGTGTATTTCTGGTGCAAAGTGAGACCCGTACTACAGTAGAGAAAGACTCTTTAAGTATCTTCCCATCTCCAATTTTATTTTAACTGCTGCTGTTGTGGTTTAAACACAGCCAGCCACCAAGTACCACCCAGCTGCTTGCATACTCCCCTGCCAGTGGGATCAGGGAGAGAATGGGTCAAGTAAAAGACAGAAAACATGTGGATTGAGGTTAAGCAAAAGCCATGCACACAAGCAAAGCAAAACAAGGAATTAATTTACTGCTTCCCATGGTCAGGCAGGTGTTCAGCTGTCCACAGGGGAGCAGGCCCCCATCAGGTGTAACAGTGACTTGGGAAGTCAAATGCCATCACTCCAAATGTCCCCTCCTTCCTTTCACTTTGTACACTGAGCATGATGTCACATAGTCTGGAATAGCCCTTTGCTCAATTTGGGTCTCCTGTCCTGGTGAGACCCCTTGGTGTCTCCTCCCAAGCAGCCCCAGCTTCCTCACCAGCAGGGCAGTACAAAAAAGCAGAAAAGTACTTGGCTCTCTGTGAGCCCTGCTCAGCAATAACAAAAACATCTCCACGTTATCAACACTTTTTTAGCACAAATCCAAAATGCTGCCCCATACCAGCCACTGTTAAGAAAATTAGGTCTACCCCAGCCAAAACCAGCACAACTTGTTAAAAGGTTAACATGCACCCACATCAGTAAGTGCATGTTGGGACAGTTTTTAAAGAAGGTGAAACTACATTTAGAGAAGACTTCAGAGAAGTTAAAACTTGATAAAGTTAAAATTATACCATAATTATTAATATAAAATTATACAAAAATTATTACCATAATTTTTCAAAGCATGTAAATAGGGATTCTTCTGCAATGTGTTGTTATTATGCAATATTTATCCTTCATGGTGGGAGGCAAAAGGTCCCCTCATGGGGCATCCTGGGAGGTTGCATGCCTCTCTGAAGTGCACACACCACCAACTCCTAGCACCTAAAGTAAATGCTTTGTTGGAACACAGAAGTGAGAAGCCAGAGCAAAGTTTTACCCAGGAGAAGGTAGTTGGCTCTCTTGATAGAGTTACTGATTAATAAAAGGCTTGCAAACAAGTTCCCAGTTGTCTGTCTTCTGGGTGGAGTCCTTCTTCACATTCCTGCCATGCTGGGTGGTTTCTTGGGCTGCTCAGCTACTCCGGATCTCAAGGAATGTCTCCTGCTTTCTGTGACCTCAGAGACTTGGCGTTCCTCTCTGCCTCCCTGCCAGCATTTCTTCCTCTCCAGAGCTCCTGCTCAGTGCTGAAAACTCCCTGTTTGCTGGGGTTTCTCCTTCCCTTCCCAGCCTGCTGTGGGCTCCTAGCAGCATCTCATACCTGCATGAGCTCAGTTGCTCCCTCCAGCTTTTCCTTCTTTTCTGGGCAAGGGATGTGTTCTGTTCCCAGAGTACATCATCAGGAAAGTCACCGAGTAGTTGTATCTATGCAGCTCCTTCTTTTTCAGATTATATGTGATATAACCACAGGCACTGGAAATCACAGTTCTGAAGTTTTACTTCACATCCCACATACCCCAACAGAGCAATAAAAGAGACCATAACCAGAAACTGATTTCAACACTGACAGTTGTTTTATGAGACTAAGCTGAGCTCTACACCCAAAGTGGAAACCCACATGCAGGCACAGTTGTGGAAAACCTGGTCAACAGTCAGATGTCAGGAGCATGTAAATTGCCTAAAAGACAGGCCAGCTTGTGGGATTGCTCAGTTTTTGGTGTGCATGCAAACATCATGTGTTAGGCCATGCTGGTTTGTCTAACAGCACTAAATAACACAACCATTTTCTCCCCTAAGAGCTCATCTGCACACTATATCCATCCTTTCATTCAGCAGAATCATTGCGCACGTCATGGATTTGCAATTGGTGGCAGTTTAAAAGTTGTTTGCATTTAATTTTTGGATAAGCAGTATTAAAAGTTTCAAGATCAGCTGTGTTAATATGAAACTAATTATTTTCGCTTTTTGTTTTCTCTTTTTGTAAATTCTGATGCAGCATTATGTTGACTTGTGTTCTGTCTCTGCTTTGGCTCAGTTCCCATATCTTTCCGTTTAAAGTTATCTGTATTTCCTTTGCTTACCCAGCCCCTGTTTTCCTTTCCAAATAAGGCAAATACAAGGCAAACTACCTAAAATCTGTGGTTTTTTCTTTTTTTTTGTGTGTTTACTTATGGGGAGTCTTGCTACACCCATGCTTGATTTGAACAGAACCTCTTGTGTTGAGTCATTATTTGTGCCGTTTCTTTGTCTGGTTTGTTGGAAACGTTTGCAGGACAGCTTGCCCTGTGCTGCATGATGCTCACTGTGCTGTTCGTAATATGAAGTACAGTTCATATTACACCCTGTTTCCACTTTCCAGTTACTAAATGATAAATGTAATATGCAAACAACTCTGTTTGCAAATTACTAAGGCTGAATTTAATGGCCTTCCCCCAGAATCCTTTACTGTGAACACCTTTTACCTTCAGTTGTATCTATAAACTGGCATTTTATAGCTTATGAGGCCAGAGATCTTCTGTGCTCTACACATACCATTGGGAAAAATGGATGGCACAAGGAATGGTGAGCTCAATTTCCCATCTGAATCTGGGCAATATACTCCAGCTCTTTTAGAAAAGTAAATGCCCCTGAGTTATTGGTGTATATTTTCTTAATATAATAATGCTTCCTCCTTTATCTCAAGTCTTCTTGATTTCTCTTAGTGTTCTTCAGTTGTTGCTTTGTTTAAGCAGCAACAAAATAGGTTAACAAACTGTTGTCCACTGGGTCAGCTCAGGCAATTTTCATAGGTATTTGCCAGGAATTATCAGCAATTCTATTGCCTGTAGGAACAGGAATTTTTATCCCAGCATTTAACTTCTATGGGGTTTACTTGAAACTTACAACTCCAGCTGCTCAGGTTGGAAGGGAGGATCTTAGTGTTGTATGACACTGACAGTACATATCAGGTACCTTTGTCTGACAGAGAAGTGAAGGAAGTCTCTTGATCATTGAGCATGAACCAGGCTAACTCTGGGATTCCTCTTCCTTTGTGTCCTTGCACAGACATCTTCTCGATTGCTGGTGCGGCCAACAAGCTCCGAGACGCCCAGTGCTGCAGAACTCGTCAGTGCCATTGAAGAGCTCGTCAAAAGTAAAATGGTGAGACTGACCAGCAGGTGCACAGGTCTAAAGAACTTGTGTCTTCAAGTCCCAGCTTGCTATTCAAAGAAAATCTGCATGTTTTACATTGACTTAAAAAATTTGCTGTCTGTTTCAGAAGTCACTTTGTGCACACTCAAGAAGTCATTTTGTACACACTCTCTTTTGTAAAAAAGCATTTGCTGAATAGGTAAATGGCAATGTAGAGGAGCAAAAGGTAATAAATAAGAGGAAGAGAGGAAATGGTGCAAAATCTACTAAGTACGTCCTGTTTGTCAAAAGAAAATGTCCTATTAGTAGAATGAATGCAAAGACCCAGGGTCTTATATTAAAAGACCTTTATGAGAAGAATCCCTGAAACTAAATTTATTGCAAATTTTATGAGGTTAGCAGTAAAGCAGGTAACCTTAATAGCAGAAATATTTATGTTACCTGGTTGTTCTTTCAGCAATATACAAATGAAGAAATAAGTAAGAGAGTGAAGGGATCATTTTGCATGTCAGTGCCTCCATCCTTGCTAACAAATTAAGTAGGAGGAATTTGTGTCAGTTTTTTTTAATTTTTTATGTTTTAATTTTTCCATGTTTCTCAAGATTATCATTGACATGTTTTAAAGTTTTCATGTTTCTGAAGATTCTCATTATATGCATAATTCCAGGAAGGTCCTTTATAATCAAAATCCAGCTTGACCCAGTCTGGAAAAAACTTCCCTGGCTAGCCCTATTTGAGATTGGACTATATAGTCTCAAGAGGTCCCTCAGCAGTTCTGAATTTCCTCAAAACATTTAAATACAGCTTTTGCAGCATAGCCCCTCTTGGGCTCAATAGGAATTGCCTTTGTGAAAACTGCAAAGAATTGCAGCATGGCAGCCCCATGTTATCAGAGACTGATATTTTCCAGGTTCATTCTAAATTGAAGCAGCTTTAACTTTCAGACCTAGAAATCTTATTTTCTGTTCTCTCATTCAGAGAAAATTACATTATTGCATAAAATAATTACTGTACTCTCTTGGGTATTAACTTTGCTTTTTACTTCTCTTACACCAGGAGAACGAATACAAAGTAATCTATGGGAAAATTCAACAGTCTTTTGTAAATGGGAAGTTAGGTAGTCCATACAATGCCATGTGTCTTTCAGGCTGCCTAGCAATGGTTATAACTTAATGATCCATGCATAAAGTCCTTGCGGGAGTTGTTCTCATTGCACAGTTTTAGCCAAGGTTCAGCTTCCCCTGGGTTTTGGGTTAGTCATATCATTATTGGTTTTTACTTTTTGTGAGGAAAGAAAATAGATTATAGCTGAACCCCACCCTGGTGAAGTAAATGTGCCTGCAGTAAGGCTCTGTCACATGCAAGGAAAATGTGATACATAGCTGTAGCCTGATCCAAGATGAAGGGCTTGAATTAAAGAAATCCAATGAATGCTTCATGGAAGATGTTCATATTATTTCCTCCTATGGCTTTTTCATCTTTTATGCAAACAGAAGCCTGTGGAGTCCATGCAAGGAGATAGTGTATCTAGAAAAGGATGCAGGGACTTTTGTCCTAGGATCTGAACAAGCTCATAAACAACACTGGCAGCGTAGAAGTCATTATTTTCTTCACTGAGATGCTATTTTGGTTTTTATTAAGATAACCAAAACGTCTGACAGAGAACACCACTTCTCTTGAGTTAAAATTGTAACATCATAAAAATCTCCTTTAAAGTTGTCCTATTTATTGTTGAAAGTAACTTGTATATGCCAGAAGTCAAATATGACAAATACAATTTAATCCCTGGCCATGAGGACACATTTGTGCCACTCCCACCATAGAAGTACTTGCATCCTGAGCAGGAGAGTCCGACTTTTAGCCATTGCTGCTCAAACCAGTGCAGCTCCTTTATTTTCCTGTGAAGGGAAGACTGTCATCTCAAATGTGCTTCAAAGGCTCAGTTGTCATGGAATGCCATGTTGTTGCTTGGTTTCCTGGAGGCTTGTGACTTGCTTTGCCAAGATCAATAAAAGTAATTGATCTCCTATAGATTGCTATACAGCAGCTTGTAATGTCTCCTGTGAATAAAGGAGAAATAAATCATTGTTGCTGACTCTGGAATACCTTCCCAGGCTCTGGAGGACCGTCCAAGTTCCTTGTTGGTAGATCAAGGTGACAGCAGCAGTCCATCCTTCAACCCTTCAGATAACTCCCTTCTATCCTCCTCGTCACCCATAGATGAGATGGAGGAAAGGAAATCCAGCTCCTTAAAAAGACGACAGTAAGACCAGTTTTTTACAGTTTTCCTTTTTTTTTAATTAGTTTTTTTTCAATGCTTATTTTGAACTGGTAGCAGAAGCTGTTAGTCTGAAAATGGGTGGACTTGTATTAGATGTCAAGCATGTGGTCACATTTCTCTGTGGCATTCAATCTGTGATTTTGAATTCTAGTCATACCTGTGTTAGACTTCTGCTGCTTGTCACTTTCATTTATTTGGGAAGATGCTGATCTTTAAATGTCCAAAGGTCTATTAGGCTTGAAAAAAAATGGTCATTCCCCTCATTCTATTCCAATCCATGCTTAATTTCTTTATGCAGTAGTAAACCGTTACCATGGTAGAATAAAAAAATGTCTGATTTCAAATTTTTCAAACTCGTGTGTGGAAATAACCATCCGTATAGCTAAGAGTCTCCAGACCAGAGACATAGTAGCTTTTTATTTTAAACAATAGTTAAATGTTTAATTTTAATGTCATGTTTAAGAAAACATCTGACTTTAGATAAACAGAAGCCAGCCTTGTCCAGTTTCAAAGTCAAAGCAGTATCTTAGTAAGAACCAATGTACATTAATTCTTCCTTTTCAGTTCTGTCTATCAAACATATGTGACTGCAAATGTTGTAAAAGTTGTATGCCATTAATCCTCTTGAAAAATTAGTTTCATTTTTTAATATTTGTTCACCTTTTTCCTTCCACTGTAGCTATGTCTTACAGGAATTAGTGGAGACAGAGAGAGATTATGTGCGAGATCTGGGCTATGTAGTTGAGGTATGATGTTTTTAATTCTCTTGATTTCTTCTTTTTTTTAAATGTCTTACTAACCAGCTATGCAGCTTGAACCTCACTATGTTTTTCAAAAAGATACACAGGAAGAGACTAAAACTGTGAAAGCTTGCATTCTGAGTTTTCCCTCCTGTAAGCTTTTAATGTATAAAAATGCTACATCACATTTTACTCCTTTTTCCTGTTACTGTGTTCACCTTGTTCTTTTGAGGAGTGTAGTTCTTTGTCTTATTTTTTTTTTCCAATTCCCACTGCTGGCCTAATGTTATCCTAGTAGATAGTGGGTTTATTTAGCACATCTAAATTATAAAAAAAGAAAAAATTGTACCTCAGCATACAGAGCAGCTATCCAAGATTTGAAAGTCCTTCCTCTCCTACCGCTAGGATTCTCTTAGACTTCCTAGCTTCCCCTGCTGTAAAATGACATAACATCACATATCTCCCCTCACTTTGCAGCTACCAACAAAATACATTTGGAAGAGTAGGAAGAATGAGCATGACAGTAAATTTTAGCCTAATAAAGTTTAATTCTTAAACTCTGTTTTGGAGGCAGGGAGGGACAGAAAGATCAGCATTGTGATAGTGTTTTTACAGTATTTAAATGGTGCATTAGGAGTTCGAATAGATGTGGTTTTGTAAATAATAACATAATTTCTGATGAAAATGCTGGACATCAAAACATACACTTGGCAAACCAAAACCAGGCCTGGCTATTTAGGAATAGAACTACCTGGGGGGGGGGAAAAAGAAGGAATAGTATTACATGAACATTACAAAATGTAAAAACACTCCTAGTCTAACTATATGGTAGAATTGCTCAGTGAGACAGCTGTGTAGACATCAAAACTAAGACAGGACTATGGGAAAATGTAAGAGGAACTTTACTGCAGCGAGAATTCTTGCTAAAGGAATTGATTTTTAATTTTTTTGTCTTTGGTTTGGTCATACTGCAAGCATTAGTCCATGGAGTGCAGTGCCATGGGCAGTTTCCTCCTCAGTGCACTTTGGTGTGGGGTTAGTGTAAGTGAAATAAGAGACACAGAGCAAAGCAGCACAGAAGGCACTTCAGTGGCTCTGAGATTTCAGGCAGTAAGGAGAAGGGCTGTGGAAGTTTCCTTTGTGCTTCGAGCCTGTTCACACAGGCTAAATTAGACAGAGTGAATTAATTTTTCTAGCACTGTTGTGTAGACAGCCTCCCCTCAATTTGTGATACTTTGTGTCTGTGCTTTATGTTATGCTGTGTTATAGAACAGCTTTCTGGTTTGGCTTTGTGTCCCAAGCAGTTGTTGCCATTGGACATCTTCTGGGAAAAGGGGGATTAGAAGACAACTCGTTTTTTTAAAGTAAGAATGTTTACAGTGGATTCACTTGAACTGTTGCAGGGTTATATGGCACTTATGAAGGAAGATGGTGTACCTGATGATATGAAAGGCAAAGACAAGATTGTATTTGGAAACATTCACCAGATTTATGACTGGCACAGAGAGTACGTATTGTACCTAAAAAATATTAGATTGACTTTAGGAATTATTTCCTCAGATATTCAGATACAAGGTAAATGAAATTGGTTTTGTGCTTTGAGTTGTAGGAAATGTAACTTCAGCTTACAAATGTTAGTGTGAAGATTTGCTTTAAAGAAGGATGCATGTGTATATATAGATTTAGATATATATATATATATATATGTATATATAAAAATATATATATAGCAAACACTTCAACTGAGGATCTCTTATATTGACATAACTTTGTACATTGCTTTCTCTCTAACAATACAGTCTTAAGAATTTGTTGGGGTGGTTAGCAAGTCAGTATTAGCATCTCAAACATTCAGTTTAGGAAGGGGAAAGCTTTCAATCAATATATATGAAATTTAATAATTTTAATAGTGAATGCCAGGTGGTTTTTTCATCTTGGCATGGATTCAGCATGTCCTTTTAAAAAGCTTTGTTGAAATATTACACTGTTACCATTGTCAGTTTGGACATACCTTAATATCCAATGCTGCTGACAGGGGACACAAAAGTGTCTTGCCTTGCAGTAAGACCACTTTGCCTCGCAATTACCTGTTGCTATAATGTGTGATGTCAGAAAAAAAGTATTTATTCTGTTTATTTTCAGCTTCTTTTTAGGAGAGTTGGAGAAGTGCCTTGAAGATCCAGAAAAGCTGGGATCCCTGTTTGTTAAACATGTAAGTACAAGCGTCTTTTTTGGCAAACTCTATTGCTGCTGCTGGCCAACATGATTGACTGTTAAGTACAACACAGTTAAGAAAGTGCTGTACAATGTTCTTCACCTGTAAGAGGTGGAGAGGTAGCTTTTAAGAGCTTATAAACAGAAGTAAATGTTGTAGTCTTTGTCCCCAGTACCTTCTTGCAGAGAGGGAACATGAATGTGGGCCCCATTTCTCTATTCAGTTACACTTTGGTGCAAGGGAAGCCTTCTAATCCCAGATATTCATGCAATAGCATGGAATATAAGAAATAAAAATAGGAAAGAGGCTCATTCTTCTTCAGTTTGAGTGTGTTCTAGTTCTGTATTCTTTCCCCTTATGGGAATTTGTTGCTGGCAAAGAGGGAAACCTGTAGGAAGTAGCTCTCCCTGTTTCTGATTGCTACTTTACTTTCTCCTGGTATTATTTGTAATTGAATTGTCTTTGAAAGGCACCTTTACCACTCCAGATGGAAAGGCAAGCTGTGATGCTATTACAGCATCCTCTAGCAAAACCCTATCGGCTAGAGCACAATGATTCAGTTCCTGTTCTTAATCTGTGTCCTATGTCCTTTCCAATCTCCATCTTATTTTTTCATTTCTTTCTTACTGTTTATCTTCACTGGTCAGTACTCTGTAAGTCTCTGGGAAGCAAAGCCTCTAACCCCAAACAAATCCTAGCAAAGTGATAGGAAAGATTTTGGAGGAGGTATGTCTGTATTTCTTAACCTGCAATGTCAGTAATCAAGAATAAATCTTAAAGGCAGAAATTATTTCCTCTCTCTTTTTCTGTTGCTTTGGTGTTAAAAGTGCATGCACAAGATAAAGGATCAGAGTTAAAAATATGCTAGTGCCTCCATTTCCAGGCTTCATCACCTACATCCCCATCCAAACTCCAGTAGGACAGCCAATATTAAATAAAAGACATGAAAGTTTTCTCCTAACTGTTTTGTACATGTAAACAGGAGAAGGTAATTATTCTAATAAATTTCAATAATAATCACATTATTAAAATAGAATAAAAAGTACTATCTTTCAAAGGCTCCATTACAGAATCACAGAATGGGTAAGGTTGGAATGGATCACTGTGGGGTCATCTTGTCAAACCTTCCATGGCTCTTGGTGAAAGAAAAACAGAACCATTTTCATGCTTAACTTTATTGTGGGACCTGCCGAGTTATCATCTCTGAACACCTGTCCTTCAGGAGGATTTATAGCTGAGGGAATTTTTTTCACTTACGTTGCCTTTCTGAAATCATAATAATGTTCCCAAATAAATGTGTTTTCAGGTCTGTAATTTCTGCATATGTAACTGTTTCTTTTCCTTTAAGGAGTCTTTTTAAGTTCATACATATAAACTGCCATACTTCTGAAAATAATACTCCATTTTAATCTTTCATGTGTTTTTCTTGATAATGATGTATCATTTTGTGTCTTTGTTCCTCTAGGAGAGAAGGTTGCACATGTACATAGTTTACTGCCAAAACAAACCAAAGTCTGAGCACATTGTCTCAGAATACATTGATACGTTTTTTGAGGTAAGTTCATGAGAGGGGATATGTGAGGTGAAGGATTATCAAATCTGTTAATCAAACCAGAAAAAAAAAAACAAAAAAACAAATGCAGCAGATATTGTTGTTAATGTTTTAAATGGCAATTTCTTGCCATTTCTGTTCTGATTTCTCAAATCTGATAAAGACTCCTAGAGATGTAAACTAAAGGTTAGGTCTAGGATATTAATTAATCAGTAGAGTCTTATCCTTAGTAGCCATAGCCCATGCAGTTACCAGTGCATTTTATATAGCAATAAATAGCAATTCTGGATAAGCAGAAATCACTGTTGAAAATAGGCTGTATACAACCTGTGACTGAAAAATTATATTTCACTCTGAAGCCTTGTCAAGAAAGAGGTGAAAGATGCTTGCAGAAGGGAATACCTTGGGAGCAACAGTGATTAGGGGAAGGACTCCAGCTTTTGCTAACTAAAGATTATATATTTTTTTTTTTACTTTTGCCAATTTCTGATGTGATAACAATTAATACTGATATATCCTTGTTTATATATATATATATATATATGTATTTATCTCCATATACTGATACATATACTGTGTTTCTAACTCAACAAACAAGGGTCTTTCTAACTGAACAAGCAAAAATGTTTGTTTTACAACTCTCAGGATCTAAAGCAACGCCTGGGCCACAGACTTCAGCTCACAGACTTGCTAATAAAACCTGTGCAGAGAATTATGAAATACCAGCTGTTACTAAAGGTAAAGGGATGTTGAGATGAATGAGTTGTGTTAATAGATATGTTATAGATGTGTTAACAGATAGGTTTTCTTTTTTAAGAAAATTTTTAATGCTGATGTTTTCCCACCCCTTTCCCTAACAGAACCCAGATTTGTAAGCAGTGCCATATGATTCTTTTCTGAGCACATTCAGATAGTTACAAAAATTGCAGTAAATGGCTTGGGCAGAAATTTCTTTTTAATTTTAACAGTTAAAGACCAAATGTTTAGGCCATGGAGATGTTTAAAATTTGTACCAGTGTCATAGGAATGGGAGAAGGAGCTCTCAACCGTTTCCAGATGTAAACATGATAGAAGTTGTTGGGACTCATCACAGCTTTTCCAACTACACCTGCAATCATTTTAATATCACATAAGTGTTTACTGAATAGCAACCCCATGTAGCACGGCAGTCAATGCCTTAGCATGTATTTTTGTATGAGTTAAATCCAAATGGTTGTCTTCTGCAGTCTGTCATATTCTGATAGAGACTATCAAATTCAGATTTTCTAAGATTTCTTGTCGATGATTAATGAGAAAAGAAATATTACTTGATATTTTTTTCTTTTTCAGGACTTCCTCAAGTATTCTAAAAAAGCTAATCTTGACACAACAGAACTAGAGGTACTTGAGACATTTTCTCTTAGTGATATGAATTCTTTTAACTCAGAACTTTTGTTTGGGCAGAGTCACTTTCCTTTTCTGATTTTCCTGAGAAAGCGATTATAAGTGTTTACTTCTTGCATTTCTGTTCTAAAGCGACCATATAAAATTAAACAAAATTTTATGCTGCTAACTCATTTGGAAAATAAAGCTTTGACTTTTTTTTTGTTTTGAACAGAAAGCTGTAGAGGTCATGTGTATAGTACCAAAACGGTGTAATGACATGATGAATGTTGGCCGCCTGCAAGGATTTGATGTAAGTTGACTGGAGTTTTACTTAGAGATTTTGTCAGGTTCTCTAGAAATTAATCATTAATACTGTGGGGAGAAATGTGTGCAGTGCTTCTTCACTATCTGGTTAGCTGGTGCAAAAAGCAGTAAGTGAAAAATCGAGTCTTAGCCCTGCCAAGGACTTTTTTCCTGGGAAACATTACCTGCTGTATCAGTCTTACAAGGTAAAGCCCTTGTGCAAAATCAAAAAAACGGCCAGTCTTACTACAGTTCCATTATTGGCTTGCAAAACAGTGAAATAATCAGTTATCAGCAAGTGAGCAGACCTGACTTCAGTAGTGTAGACAAAGGAGGAGTCACTAATGTCCATCATGTACTTGAGGCAACTGTAGCCCTCCTTGTTTTGCTAAGTCAAGAAGAGATGGAAATTGGCTACTGAAGCAGGATGCATCAGGCAGGCCACAGTCACATGTTTTACTTGCAAAGCTCTTTATATTGAGTGATGCAGACATGAACTTGAGATCTGCCCCTACTCAGCACCCTGGAAGATTATATGAGTAACTGCTGGAGTTATTCAGAATAGAGAAACTAAAGCCTTATTGTTCCAAACCTCAAAATGCATGATGAATTGAAAAGGGTGGAGTGGATTTTTGGAGTTTGGTCTGGGTTTTTTTTGTTTTGTTTGGTTTGGGATTGGTTGGTTGGTTGGTTTTGGGTTTTTTGGGTTTGGTTTGTTTTTTTTTTGTGTGTGTGTGTGGTTCTTTTTCTTTTTGACATTTGGTATTTTTGAGAAAGAGCACAAGAATATCTTGTGTATAGGAGGAGAAATGAATATAGAGTGGTCAATAACAGTTGGAAGGTGGGAAATACACAAAGCTATTTGTCATGAACGTGTGCTCAAAAAGGTTGAGTGGGGAAAGAAACAAAGAACTTCACTAAATGTGTTTTTTCTTGCCTCTGTGTGTAGGGTAAAATTGTAGCCCAGGGTAAGCTCCTGCTCCAGGACACATTCTTGGTTACAGACCAGGATGCAGGACTTCTGCCACGCTGCAAGGAAAGACGGGTCTTCCTGTTTGAGCAGATTGTCATTTTCAGTGAGCTGCTAGATAAAAAGAAAGGTTTCTCCATGCCCGGATTCTTGTTTAAAAACAGTATCAAGGTAACTGTTGTGTGTGAGTCTTTTGTGTCCCCTGCATAAACTCTGCTAAGGTAACAGTTTCTCGTTCTGTGGGCAGTCAAGAGTGACAGCTAGGTGTGCAACCCTAGAGCACAATGAGGTGCCAGTCATTTCCTGAAATTACTTCCTACTGAATTTGTTCTCACTCCAATGTTAGGTGGAGATCTTTGGATCCCAGTACTCTGATGCCTCCTGTTTGAAGCCTATCAAAGCAGGTCTTCTGGCACAAAGTGCTGGACAAGTTTAGTTTTCAGCTCTGTGCTGTGTGTATACCACAAAAAGTGGTATACACACACAAAGTATACAAAGTCATTGCAAGTAGAGATAATAACTCTTTTTGTATCCTTTCCAATACCCAAATATGTAGATAACATTTGTAAGTAGTGTGACCTTCTTAGATATTCCTCAAACAAAGTAAGTGTTTCCCCACTTCAAGATTTTCCTGAGCAAACCTGATCATATTAGAACTCAGCAGCCCTCATGAAGTGTTTTGGGTGGACCCTGCTTCCCCTAATTTGCCTTGGTGCTCTGCCTGCCACCTGAACCTGTTTATAGCTTTGGCTGAACAGCCAGGTACAAGACATTGCTCTATCTGCAGCTGAAGCCTTTAGCAGGGGCTGGTGGTAGAGAGAGCTCCATAGCAGGCTCAGCATTTTAACTAATCTGAAAGGAAAGTGAGGGATGGAGAACATTGGCCATGCTGACCTGCTGGAGATTGTTCAGGCACAGCGTGTCAGTAAGCTGTACACTAATTCTTAGTTTACTGGAATTAAGTAACTTCATTTCATGCTATTATTTTACTGCAGGAATGAGTGGTTATCATTTAAAGATCTGCCTCTACACTCCTGAGAAAGATTTTAAAGGTATGTTTCCCATAATATACATGTTATTTTCTTTTCATGAAGGTGAGTTGCCTTTCTCTGGAGGAAAATGTGGACAGCGATCCATGTAAATTTGCACTAACATCAAGAACGGGCGATGTCACGGAGACCTTTATTTTGCATTCTGCCAGTCCGGGAGTCCGCCAGTTATGGATCCATGAAATTAACCAAATTTTGGAAAACCAGCGCAACTTTTTAAATGGTAAATTATTTTCTTTTACTAAAAGTTCATAATTGGATGACTTTTCGCTCATCTCTTTTTTCTTGGCTTTGAAATGTTCTGCAAGTTGCCTTTTTCCTGAGCTAATACAGAACAGTTGGGGGATATGTGCCTCATTTCTGCTTCAGAACAGATGCTTGCATTTATTATAAGAGTGGTAGTCTGAATTTACATGGTGTTCTCTTGGTGAAATTTTCCAAATGTTTTGTAGGAGTGAATCAAGATAGGTGCCATCCGTTGAGAGCTTGTGTACCCCTTTTAAGCAACTGCAAGCCTTTAAAGGCTAAACCCAAGTGGAATTTTAGGCATCGATCCAGAATGTGTTTTGCTTCTATTATTTTGGTGGCCATTGTTGTTGCATCTTAGTGTGGCAGCAACATTCAGATTCTGTAGGAGAAAAGTAGAAGGTGGTATTGTCCTCTGTGACACTAAAAAGTTTTTGCTCTATTTTTATATCTATTGGTTGTTGTTCCAACCTAGATTTTTTTAAACAGTTATAATGAGTAACAACAAGCAGAGAATGTGGAGTAACACCTGTTTTTTTCCAACTTGGCTGCTGGCTGACAGTGTGATCCTAGAGGAAAAGATCTTCTTAGTTTCAGATTTTTAATCTTTAATATAGGTAGATGCAGCAGGTCATGAAGGTTAGATGCAGAAAAGTGACTTGAGGTCTGTGGCGTCTTTCCACTGCTAAGGAAATTTATTTGAACAGCACTCCCCCTTTTGCCAGTAGACATGTCTGTTTTAAACTGTTCCTGTTCCCTCTCCTGCCCCCTTTCCCCTGACCGCCTCCCCCCTCGCCCCCACTGCAGCCTTGACATCCCCGATCGAGTACCAGAGGAACCACAGCAGTGGCGGAGGCGGCGGCAGCGGCGGGAGCGGCAGCGCTAACGGCGGCGGCCCCAGCAGCTGTACTGGCATCCCCAGCTCCAGCCGTAGCCGGCCATCCCGGATCCCCCAGCCTGTCAGACACCATTCCCCAGTCCTGGTCTCCTCTGCAGCCTCGGCCCAAGCAGAGGCAGACAAGATGTCAGGTATGTCCATTCACAATCACTCCCTGCCACACTACAACACCTCTTTAGAAACTGGCCTGAGCCAGCCAGACAGGCACCCTCCCAGTGCAGAGCCGGATGGTCCTCAGAGAGAAGCTGAACAGATTCCCAAGATGAAAGTTATTGAAAGTCCCAGGAAGACAGCAGGAAACATTTCTGGCTCAGCTGATGGAGCCCAGAAAGACTCACGTGGAATCTCAGAGGACAGTCGAACAAGGAACAGCATAGGATCACTGACGCTTGGGAAACCAAGGCCAGGAGCCATCTCTCCAATGAACTCTCCTCTGTCCACGACTTTCCCTTCTCCTTTTGGCAAGGAAAGCTTTCCACCCAGCAGCCCCCTGCAGAAGGGCTCCTTTTGGAGCTCCATCCCAGCATCCCCTGCCAGCCGCCCTGGCTCCTTCACTTTCCCTGGGGACAATGACTCCCTCCAGCGGCAGGTCCACCGCCACTCTTCACACAGCAAGGACACAGACCGCATGAGCACATGCTCCTCGACCAGCGAGCAGTCAGTTCACTCCACCCAGAGTAATGGGGTAAGAGCGGAGCACCTCTGTCCTGCGAGCTCTTCTAAAACCTTCCATGCTCCCTTTCTGTGCGTTGCCATCATTCTCCGTACTAACTTCTGGCTCTCCGGTGCTGTTCTGCTCTGAAATAATCAACTGTTCCGGTATCTTCTGCGCACTAAAAAGCCAAGAGTGTCTACCTGTGTGTGTGTATACATGCCAACATGGCTATGCATACAGACACAAAAGCAACTGCTAACATTAGATGCGATTTCTGCCTCTGCTGAAAATATAGATCACTAGGCTGATACCTACTAACTTGCTGTCCTTGCTTTTTTCGTCTCTAATTTGAAGGCACATAATTAACATGCTGAAGCGTGGCAGCCAGAGCACCTTGGGGTATGCATTGTGCCAGCACTTAAATCTGACTTCAGGATTTTGGCAGATTGCCTTGGGGCTTTTTTCCCTTTCACGCACAAATTTGCCACCATTGTCCTGTTGAGTTTTAACTTCGTGGAGACATCTACGTTCCCTGGCCTGCTTGAGTTTTATTTTTTTCTTAATTTATTTTTTCCCCCTCTCCTTTCAGCCTTAGTTGTTATACATCAATCTCTTTTTAAATCCTGTGTTTGATCAAGGAAGCTTTCTGCAATCCACTCAAAATAGGCCAACAAAACCTAGCGACAATAATCCTACTTCTACTACAACCAAAACGATTACCCGCTCCACTGGTCTTTTCTCCTTTGTAAGAAGAACTGGTTTCGGTTTTCTGGAGACTCAGCCTCTTAGTGTGCACTTGGTTTGTTTGTGTAGAAATCCAGGCTGTCAACAGAATCTACGTTATTCCTAATAACATCCACCAGGAAAGCAACGCAGCCAGCACTGGGGCATGTGCAAATATAAAGCAAAAATGTTGAGGCATTTGCCATGGAGGTGGTAGGCAGGTTATGGTGCCTTTCTTTTATAACTCACATATGATTTTTTTCTCACTAAGCATTGTGTTCATGAATGTTTGTTTTTCTACTCTCTCACAAATGGTATGCAATACCAGTTCTGCAGATCACCTAACTTGCTGGACCTTTTTTAAATGCATGTGTTTCTTTATAGAACTGTTTAACACACAAAGCTTTCTTGACTTCTTAGTTCTTACACTTAATTTTATAATAGCTTCAGAAGAAAAAAATTATGCTTTGCATGTTTTGTAATTTTATCCTGATCTTCCTTCAGCTTTTTATTTGATTTAGCTCTGTCTTGTGTTTATCTTCAGTCTAGCAAAATGTGATGTAATGTAATGCAAAATCTGGGGTAATTTGAGTATTTTGCATTTACTGCATAGTAGGTGAATTAAGATGGTGGTACTTGCATAATACTAATTCAGGTTGCTGCATTCAATAAGGAGAAGGAGAAAGATGGGATGGCACTGAATTTTCAAAACATTTGGATTTCGATACTATCTCAGCAAAGACACCATTGCTTGTTTTTATCTCACTATAAAACGTAATGTTGGAATGCGTGCATTCTGCTTCACAGCTCTATGTTTACAGCTCTGTAACTCTTTTATTTGGTAATTGAGATGAGCCATAAATCCTCATTTATAACCTCATTTCTAGACCAATCATTAGGATTCTACACCACATTGAACAAGCTGGAGAAAATGGGTTGTGAAGGTTTATTTTAATTTAACTATTTTGTATGTATATACCCATGCACATATGGCTATAGTATTTAGTATATAGATTATTTAAGGACAAATTACTTCTAAGAAGAAAAAAGATTAGGTTTTGCTAGTTGAGGAATGTGGGAGGAACTTTTTATATTTTGTTTGTAGATCCTCTAATCCCATAGTTGAGGTCAGTGATGACCAGAAGTACTTTCAGTAAGAAAACATTACTATGCAAGAATAACTACTTCCTTGGAAGGCAAAAGGAAAGGCTGTCTCTCTGTGGTGAGAATGAATTCTGGTATAAACACATTCTCAGGAACATTTGTCACTTAGTAGTTACCAGACAGTTGTTTATTTAACAGTTTTAACTGTCCCCATTGAACATAAGAAATATTCAGAGTTCATTATGATCCTACAAGACTTAAATGTCAGAAAGAATTGTTATGTTATAGAAAGGTCAGTCTTGCAGTTAGAGAAATTCTGCTGCATCCTAAGAAACAGTATGTTCAGGAATAGTGTGTGGGGCAAGGTTTGAGGCTTAGGTTGATACTGCAACTTTCCTTCATTTTTCCCTGAAAGTCTAACAGGAGGAGTCAACAAAAGCTGCTTTTTTGAATAGAGTTGTTTTTCATCTAGGTAAAAGCGTGTAGCAAGTTGTCATCCTAATTTAAATAATGACTGAAAATGAGACTTAATTTCTTGGGTCCAGCTGTTTTCAGTTTGCCTGAATCATGGAAAGGACTTACTAATACAAAAGGCCATGCAGGCCATCTTCTAAATAGAGAAAAAAATTAGTTCTCCTACTGGAAATACAGCATCTGAAATTAATGTCAATATCCTTTAGTAGAGTTAAAATCCACAGTGAGATCTTTCTCACTTAGGTAGCATATGCTTCATCATTCTAATATGGCAAAAAAGAAGCTTTGAGTCACTCATTTGAATATAACAGTCCACCTAGAATAAAATGTACAGAGTCACTGGCACTCCAAGCATCAGGGTGTTAAACATGCTATGAAATTAGTAATCTGAGGCTGTTCCACTCCAAATGTCCTGGTTTCTCAGCCAGAGTCCTTAGGGAAGCACAGGCACAGAGGGATGGAGTGACTTATTCAAGGCCTTTAGCAGATTGCAAGAGAACGCAGTGTTCAGGGCTCCCAGTGCACCAGGCTGTTAACTGAACCCCTCTGTATCTCCTCAATATTTGAGAAATATTTGACAGTTTTGAGAAAAAAAAAAAAAAAAAGATGCTGTTTTAATCCTGTGTGCCAAGCTTTCCAGTGGCTACTAGCACATGAGTGGCACTAGTGTGGTTCTGCTCTATAAGCAATAGGGGTACCCAGGACATGGGTACTCATTTCCTTCTTCAGCTCAGCTTCTACTGAACAATAGTGAGCCCTCTCTGGCACTGAGTGACCTGAAACAGTCTGAAGTAAGAACAGAGACAAAAGGCAGACACACACACACACACACACACATTTCATGCCACATCATTAATAGGCCATTCACCTTGGTTTAAACGTGTTTCAAGAAAGAAATAATTATTGCGGGAGTAGGTTGTAATCTGATAATAGTTTTCACATTTCCATTTATTAAAACTTGTATAAGGAATAGATGCAAATGGACAAAGTAAGTCTTACTTTTAAAAAAATAATAATTTCCAGTAGGTTTGTTGTCAGCAGTAGGCTTTTTGTTCTTCAAGTAATATGATTTTGAATGTACACCTTCTCAGCCATAATTAGCTTTCCACAAATGCTTGCTGGGGAAATGAACAATATCATGAACAGAGTTGAAAGTGTATGATAAACAGGTAACAACACTCAGCTATCTTAGTTACTAATCCATTAGAAGGGATTCTTACAGTTTAGTGGGTCTATTTTGACTGTCAAATTAATAATTTCTTATTTCAGTAATTTACTTCATTCTTTGCATTTAAAAGAATAAACCTGATCATACAGATGCAAGCAGAGATAAATCTTGTGGGTTTTGAGAGATGCTGTCAAAACCCTGTTTTGTTCTTTTGTAGCTTGTCATGTTTTGTGTGCACAAGGGCAGTGTCTGAGATCTGACAGGTAGTGCTAGGAAAGACTACATGTATTTTTCATTGTTGGAGTTTCCAGTGATTATGAGCTAATGACTATGATTTGGAAACTGAACTTACAAGATCATGAAAAACTGTCTTACATGCTTGTACTGTAGTTTTGATGCCTGATGAAGATGCAAGGTTCAGTGTCAGAGCCTGAAAGGAAGACAAGTTGAGATTTATGAATAAAGTGACTCCTAGTTAATGGAAATTATATTGAGTAACTGTATTGGGAATAAATTTGTGGAGCAGCACTACAAAAAGATGTTCAAATATCAGACTAATGCACAAAGATAAACAGACATAGGCAGCTGTACAAGAGAAAACATTGCTCTTTTCTTTGACTACAGTTTAAACCAATTAGATTAGGTAGGTAATGTAGCAGTCCAAGAACAGCCTGTCTTCTTCATGAGTTTTAAACTTGATTCTCTTTTTTTCCCTCCTGCTCTCTCTGCTTCTGACTGATGCTTGCAGAGTGAAAGTAGCAGCAGTAGCAATATCTCCACCATGCTGGTGACACACGATTACACGGCAGTGAAGGAGGATGAGATAAATGTCTACCAAGGAGAGGTCGTGCAGATTCTAGCCAGCAACCAACAGAACATGTTTTTGGTGTTCAGAGCCGCCACCGATCAGTGCCCCGCAGCCGAGGGCTGGATTCCCGGCTATGTCTTGGGGCATACCAGTGCAATCATCATTGACAACCCTGATGGAACCATCAAGTGAGTGCCTGGGTGTGAGTAGAAGGGGGAGGAAGGAAGAAAACATCCAATTTAGAGAAGACTTTGAACCTTTAAGGCCAAAAATTCATGTGATCATGGAGAAATAGATGAGCAACAAGCAGAACAAGTACTGGAGAGGTCCCTTAGCAACCATCAAAATAAAGCTAGTGAAAAAGATCCCAGAAGCACATATTCTTTATTAAAGAGTTTCAATAGCCTAGTCTTCTGGGAAAAGAATGCCTTATCTAAGAGCAGAAATAATTTATTTTAACTTGTTTATTTGATAGAATGAGTTGCCAGTCTAGACACTTTTGTCTGGGAAAACAGGGAATGTTTGTTCAAATAAAACAAGATTTCAGAGTTCCTAGATATCTGCTTTAAGCCACAAACCTGTTGAAAATTACTATATGCTAGGAACAGCTCTCTCATCTCTGCAATGGAAGAAATTGTATCCAAGTTCAGTTTGAATTTTGTGTAAAGCTTTTGTAGGGCTGCATTTGGTATGGGCCTCATACTGTTAGCTGCTCCGTTGGATTGCCAGTTTGCATTTTCATATAGAAAGTTTACCATTCAAGCAATGATTTCAAGGAATACTGAACTTCAGACTACATTACTAGCTTGTTCACAGTTTTAGCCAAGGGTGGCATTCCTTTTGGAATACCTAATGTATTTCATTCTCCACTTTAATACATAGAAATAACATTTTGACATACTTTTCCAATGGCACGTGAAAGTAGATAGTATAGGACATAACAAGGAGTTGAAAAGAATTGATCAGAGTTTCATGTTCTGTGTTCAGGAAGTCAACGTCTTGGCACACAGCACTCCGATTAAGGAAGAAATCTGAGAAAAAAGATAAAGACGGCAAAAGGGAAGGCAAGCTAGAAAATGGTTATCGGAAATCCCGAGAAGGACTTGCCAACAAGGTTTCTGTAAAAGTAAGTCTTCAAAGGTGTCACTTCCAAAAGAAGTTGGGTTGGGATTTCTTTAAAAGTAGCTTCTGTCAGAACTTCACAGGAAGGAATTAAAGGCAGCAGTGCCTTAAGTGGACAGTTTCTGCCAAATCTGGAAACAGGAAATTAGAACCTTCGAACCTGAAAGCATCATACAAAAAAAAGATACCTGAAAAAGAATAGAGTGGTGCAGAAATTGTGGTATTTAGATGTTTCTTGGATTCTGTGGGTACAGCTAACTTTAATCCATCTCTGTGCTTGGTTTCCTGCCATTCTTTAAGTTATTATAAGATTATCAGGACATTAATTCTTTAATTTCTTCTTTCCAGCTTCTCAACCCCAATTACATTTATGATGGTAAGTTGCTTTAATTTTTAAAAGTTTCAGTCAATAAATTTGATTAAAACATTATTTGCTTGATATGAATTATGTCAGGAATTGTGTGCTTTCTACAAAAATATATATGGGCTCTTTTTAGATAAGGTAGAATGAAGTCATAGTTCTTTTTTAAGATGCAGGAAATACTTTTTTGTTCACAAGTCCAAAACAACATAAAACACAAAGACCATATGATGTGTTCTGCATGGAAGTGGGGCCTTGCTGAATTTGCAAAGTAACAAGGCCAGGAGTTGGAGCTGCTTTATTTTCAATCTTGCACCCTAGGGAACGTTCAGGACCTCTCCACCGCAGAAGCAGATCAGGGCAAAGATGGTGGCCCACTGGGGTCAGAGCCAAACTGGGCTTTTAGTTTAATAGACAGAAACAAAGTTTTTGAGTTTCACCTGTGGAAAAGGGAAAGCACTATAGTGCTTCAGAGGATGAAGTGTTTTTTGCAAATTTGGCTGGATATAAAGATAGCCTAGCTGAGCACATCCTTAAATACTTTTCAGTGTAAACTTTCCTCACTTAGCATAAACTGGGTGTTTGGTTCACCATGGTAGGCTTCAGAGTTATCTGTGGCACAGCAGTAGTGTTGTGTCCAAGTTCATGTAGAGAAAAATTTACTGGCTCTGTAGAGCCCCAGCAAGGGGCCTAACCATGGATGTGCTCCAAGGGCAGGGGATAAATACACCTTGGGAATCTAAAGTACTGCTTCATCTAATAGAAAACAGTGCAAGGAATAGAAATTAAATGTATTTGCTTCAGTTTACCTAATGCCATTACTTCTCTTTTTCCAGTTCCCCCAGAGTTTATAATTCCATTGAGTGAGGTAACATGTGAGACAGGAGAGACCATCGTGCTTAGGTGTAAAGTCTGTGGTCGCCCCAAGGCTTCAGTTACTTGGAAAGGTCCTGATCACAATACACTGAGCAATGACGGTCATCACAGCATTTCCTACAGGTAATTTGTGCCATGGTCGACAGGAACTGCTCAAACTCTGACTTTCTTAATTTGCACCCCTGGTGTGGGACAGCGTTTGGCTTTGAGGCATGAGGATAGGGTTGCTCTCAGACAGAAACGTATCATCACTGAGATTTTCCAGAAATGTTGTGTAACTTCTGCATATGGCTAAGGTAACAAAATGTTATAATCAGTTGATTTTTAAAAACAAAATAAAATTAATCTGCTCTTTCTCATTAGCTATTGCAGAAACCATTGTGGTCTGTCACACTGACCTGGTCATTGAAACAGACCAATGTGTTGTGACATGCCAGTACTGTGACAGACCCTGCCAGTCCCTTCTTTCCATCAGTGACTTTCAGATCACACTGCTGTGTTTTGCAAAGAAGCCTCTGCTTCCTGTTGATGTGACAACATCACACTTCATTGTTGAAGCGTGGATATTAACACTTTTCTCTGTTTTTAGCTTTGCTATGATAGAACATAACAGAATAACTGGTAACTCAAACACCAGGAGAAATTTTTCAGGAGACATTGTTATTTTGGAATAGGAAGCTGCAGGTTAATTTTTTTTTCTGAAAAACCATCTTTTACATACAGAAAATGTAGTTTAATGAGTAACTTCAGTGTGAAGAAATGTCACATTTATGAATTATACTCTTAATTCAGAATGAAGGGCTCTTTTGTGAAAACTTAATGACATGTTATACTGTTCTTTACTTCTGGTGCTCCTGCTTTTTCTTTTCATTGGGTTTTTTGTTTCTTTTTAACGGAAAGACAAAGGCAATGTGGCAGCTTTACTACTGCATCCAGGGCTGTTGTGAGATGTGTAAGAGTTAAATTTGCTAGGTTTAATTCACTGTTACTCATTACAGTATTATATCCAGTGAATAATCTTGGCTGTGGCTGACAGATCTTTAGAAATAATCCCAAAATGTTCTTTGAGTTTGGGAAGGGTGTCATCTTCCTATGTTTCCTAAAATTTACCTTTTTTTTTTCCCTGAAATTGTGTGGTGAAGACCATTGCAAATTGGTTTTGGGTCAGTCAGTAAAATGACTTGCAGCAGCTGAGATGAGCCCAAAGGAAAGTGTGATAAAAGATCTCGAAAATATGCATTATTGTGAAAAAACAACACACTAGTTGTTAGTATTGGTTTGAGCCTAGAGGTGAAAACTGTAGGGAGGACTTGCCAAGTATTCACATTTGTAAGAGACTTGCAAATTAAATTATCTGTTGTTCATATCCATGGCAGATAGTCAAAAGACTACTAGAAATTTACTGCATAGAGGAAAATTTAAGCAGACATTTAAAGGCAAAGCATCAAACAAAAAGGGTGGTTGACCTGTGAGAAAGATTAAGGAAGAGCCTGCAGAGTTTTCTGCTCTGGTATTACCTAGCTTAATGCTGTCTCTGCCCTGGAGCAGAGTGTGAACTTAAGTCCTTTCTAGTTTCCTTCCATCCTCATTCTCCCAGATTCTGAGATCTCTAGAGCTGTGGTGAAGTGTGCCTTTTATGTTGAAGGGCAAGCCCACTCTTACAAGGGCTGAATGCTCTGAAAGCACAAATGACAGATCAGCTGACACCCCCTGGAAATCATGGATGGAAATGAAGCTTTCAGAAAGAACAAGGATGGATATTTGTCTCAATATGGCCTCTGAAAACTTGAAGTAGGTAAAGGAAGCAGGAAGAAACAGGGGAAGCACTTGATTTTTTCAACAGTAGAGCCTGAGACATGGTGAGACAGAGTGTCAGTTAGGATGTTTTTCTAGTGTTTTGTAGGACTTGCCAAGATATTGGATGAACACAAAGTGCTCAGGTTCTGATGGATGCTTCTGAGATGTGTTTTACTATGTTCAGAGAGAGCTAAGAGCTGGAGAATAAGAAGTATGAAGAATATCAACCTAACTTTGTCTGATTTTCACAGCCTAAGGTCTGTGCAGTTACTGTAAAGTTAACAGCTGCCGTTGTGTTTGCAGTGACCTGGGAGAGGCGTCGCTGAAAATCGTAGGCGTCACTGCGGAAGACGATGGTATCTACACGTGCATAGCTGCAAACGACATGGGTTCAGTTTCATCCTCCGCCAGTCTACGAGTTTTAGGTAGGCCTGGCTCTGCCTTCTTCTAAAGCCTAGACACAGCTGATGTGCCTGGTACCCATAGAACAGTAAAAAGAAAAGCTCAGCTCCTGGGCACCCCTTTGTTAAAGGAGTATTGATAACGAGCCTTTTTGTCTGTCATATAGTGCCTGTTTCAGCAGGAATAGATGCAGTTTTAGGATGTAACGGATTAGAGGTTCATGCACACATTCCACAGTACTGTCAACGTGCATTCAAACACACTGATAAAATCATATTTTATCATCAGCATTCTTAGTTTAGTCTCAGTGAATGCTGCCATGCTAACATAATTTCTAAAGTGTACAGATAAGAAAAGAGTAGCATTACTTTGTAATTTATTTTTCTCCTTTGCTTGAACTGTTAAGCCACAATTTTTACAAGAATATACAACTAGTTCTTGTCTTTGCATCACTGATCTACAGTTGCAAAGGTATTTCAGTACCTGAAGGAAGTAACCTGAATGTTTGTGAGGAATAAAAAGGAAACATGCAAAGATAAAAAAATGCCTGTGTTTTGGGGGCAGACAGCAAAGGGAAAAAAAGATTTTTACTTGATGTGTTTGATGACATAGGGATACATTTTGGAGTGTGTTCATACATTCACTTATTCTTGTCCTAAGCATTCATAATTCTCCATTTTAGAAATAGGGTAAATATAGACAGCAGGATCAAAAATTTTCTTACAAAACAGCTCATAACAATTGATGCCATCTGGGTCCTTTAGTCTATTGTGAGGCCCATATATTTTTCCACTGGTGAGAATAGTTAATAGATTTTAGCAGAATGTCTCTGTCTCAAATTGACTCACATAAAAAACCCCAAGACGTGAAGTTTCTCAGCTGATACGGGGACTTGTCCCAAACCTCTTCAAAATATAGTCTTTCTTCCCTTTTTTCCAAAGACCTTTGCTGCTTTCTTGGAATTTTAAACCCTCCAAATCTCATCTGAAATTTTTGGGTGTTTATGTTCAGTGGTGCCACTTTGAGCTCTGCCTGTGGGTAGCTGCAGTAAGTGCCTTACTGACAATGTATTGAGGTGATGATTATTTCAGGCACTTCCTGCTCACTGACCCAAGACAGACAGCAGCTAAGCCCTTGGATCAGTGTGTTGCAATATATATAGAAAAGGCTGAAAGGGAAATTTTGGTCTTTATACTAGCGTTTCCTGAAAAATAAGAGTTGCTCTCTAAGGTAGCTGCTACACAGCCTGGCCACTTCTTTTTCCAGTGGCAGGTGTATTATTGATTATGAGGTATAATGTAAGATGTCTTTTCTTTTCACTGTTTCCCTCAGCTTGCTAAGGTTACTCATTCCTGTACAGACAGTTCCCACTGTAACCTAAATTGTTTCCACTATAGATTTGGTTCTACTGCATTGGCTAGGCTGCCCTGGTGTATAATCCAGTTTGTCCTTCTGCCACCTTGTGTGTCATATGGGGATTAATAAGATGGGGTGATTCCCCTCATAGCCAAGAGATCTGAGTGTATTAAATCTTGGACATCCTGTCCTTCTCTTTTTTGTTTGTTTGTTTAGGTCCTGGAAGTGATGGGATCATGGTAATCTGGAAAGACAACTTTGAATCCCACTATAGTGAAGTGGCTGAGCTTGGCAGGTGCGTACTGTATGCTGATCTTCAAAGCTGTCTGTGTCAAAATACTGACTTCTCTTTCAAAAATTAAATTCTCCTTGATAAATACTTAATGTATGAGCCTAAAAGGCCAGAATTTTGTTGGATTTAATAGAAGTGAGGAAGTAAAACTTTTACCAGCACTAGATGGCACTACAGAAACAGAATTCAATTAGGCTGAAAGGGGTATTGTTGATGTAGAGATTTATTTTTTAAGCATCTCTTAAAGTGACTGACAGTGCTTCTGTAGTGAAGTTCTCCTCAACCTCCTTATTTAGGGAATGAAAACTACAGACAGAAGGAGTCTGAAAATGGGCAAAATAACTCATGTAGAATATACAGTTTGCCAACTTTATAATGACCTTTGAAAGCTGGTTATTACTCTGACAGGTTGCCTGCAAGTGTGATATGACAGATTCTGTCAAGTTTCTACAGTCACAATTTGTATTAGACGCATGCACTGAAAATTCTCGTGCCCAGAACCTTCTCTGTAAGGGCAACTTATTCGAGATTAAAATTGGATCTTTTGGAGTATATCATTCAAGTAAAAGTATGTCCTTATTGCATCTCTTGGTTAAACCTTTCCTTTCATTGTTGTGTTCCAGGGGCAGATTTTCTGTCGTTAAGAAGTGTGACCAGAAGGGAACCAAGCGAGCAGTAGCCACTAAGTTTGTGAATAAGAAGTTGATGAAGCGAGACCAGGTTACCCATGAACTTGGAGTCATGCAGAATCTCCAGCATCCCCAGCTCATTGGCCTTCTTGATACCTTTGAGACCTCCACCAACTACATACTAGTGTTAGAAATGTGTGTGCATTTTAAATTACCTGTAAAATGCAACTTTACAGCTGACTTTCTGGGGCATTTTTGGTGGTTAATGAATAAGGTGCTCTAAAATTTTGTAGCAGTTTGAAAGTACCTAAGTAAAATACTGTTGTCTAATGGCATTACTAAAATGTTGAGCTTAATATTCAGAAGGAAGCAAATAGAGATATTAAATATACATATGGATGATTATCTTAGTCTGAAGATTCAACTGTATTTTTGTATCAAATGGCCACAAAAGTGAATTAGGAATGTTGTGATCTGGTAGCTAGATATGATATCTCCTCTTCATATCCTAGTCCTTTGTGTTGTAAGTTTTGCAGACTACTGTTACTGCTGTAGTCTGTAGCCTCTTGAGGTTTTTTCAGTTCTGATGCATGGATTAATCCAAAATACAACCCTTGTAATTCCAACAGGGCTGACCAGGGTCGCCTTCTGGACTATGTCGTGCGATGGGGAAACCTCACAGAAGGGAAGATCAGACTCTACCTGGGAGAGATTCTGGAAGCTGTGCAGTATCTTCATAACTGCAGAATAGCACATTTGGACCTAAAGGTGAGGTGTTAATGGGATTCTGAGCAGTGTCATTCTGGGCATAAAAATCTCCCTCTCCTAGAAAACTTGCATCTGGGAAGAGAGAACTCTGAAATGCTTTGAGGGTCATAAAAGACTCCCCAATGGCTTGGGGCTCCATTCCTAAATGCTTTAGGTCACTCAAGCAGCAAGGCAGAAACTCTCAATTCCCTAATCTTTCTCCTTACAGCTTGCTTGCCCATTGTGGCCCTTTGTGCTGGAAACAATTGCTAACAGGAAATTTTGCTTGGTTATTTATTTATTTATGTATTTATTTAATTTCTGATAAACTTGCACCAGAAATCCATTTCTTTCTCAAGAAGCATTGAGTTTATTGTGAAAGAGACTGCTTTTCTTCTTTTGCTGCAAAAATGTTTCTCATCTTTGCACTTTGAGGGCTGTAATACCTAAATGAATGGTGCTTCTTTGGGCCTTTGTTCTTCCCTTTGTGTGTTAGTTGAGCCACAAGGGTTTAATGCATTGTAGTTAAAAAAACTATGTGAGAAGGTCTCAATGTAAATATTAATTAAAAACTTACTCCTTACACTTTCTTTTTCCACCTGTGTATGAATAATAATTTTAGCATTGACAAGTCATCTTTGTAGGCAGGGTCTTTTTAGCCAGATGGGGTCATGGTGAGAAAAGGCAAAGAGCCCGAGTCTCTTCCCTCCATGTACTTCTGTTTTCCAAGCAGAACCAGTTTGGGTCTTCATACCATTAAATTTTTTCTAGTGTGCTATAGAGAGTTCACCAGTACTTTTTCTGGTCTCACATACAGATGAATTAATTAAAAACTAGTTGTAGGTAAGTTGCTCTTACTTTGCAGAGATTACAGCTACAGCAGCAGTAGCTTTAGAAATAAAACTGTAGAAATCAGTCCACTTTCAGCTCACCAGTAATGGGGCAGTTCTCTTGAAGTCATATGCATCCAACAGGATCTTCTGCTACCATAGTCTCCTAACAGGGTTTGTCTTCCATCTGTACAGCTGCATTACATGAAAGAGTTTCCAAATAAAGCTGGATTCTGTTGAAAGCATCATGCAAATATTTACAGTCTTCCAGTCTTTAAATGCAAGGGTTTTGTTGTCTCTGATGTAAAACAAATGGAACAGTTGCTTCATTCACCCTCTATTTATAATTGTTGTTCCTTAAGCTTAAGTTTTGAAACACAGTTCCTGTGAAGCTTTGCAAAGCTGCTGTCATGAGTAACTGAAGTATTAACTGGCAGAGCTATATTTCCTGCAAAAAATGTAGTGCCAGCAGCTACAACAGCTAAAGCAGATGCATTGCATGTTACAATAGGCAAGAGCCCACCTGCTGGTTGGTCAGGGGAAGCCTTGTTAAGACTGCCTCAGAGCTTTCCAGAGCTGGCCTTCTGCAGTGATCCTATTTATGTTCTAGGGCTGACCACACTTGCTAGGAAGCAGTTAAGTTGGAGCATTAAATGTGTGTTAGACTGACTTGAAAAAAGACATTTTAACTTTTTCTTTTATGTTTTCTAGCCTGAAAATATTTTGGTGGACCAGAGTTCCACTAAGCCAACAATAAAACTGGCTGACTTTGGAGATGCAGTCCAGCTCAATACCACGTATTATATCCACCAGTTACTTGGAAACCCAGAGTTTGCAGCTCCTGAAATTATTCTTGGAAATCCTGTTTCACTCACTTCAGATGTTTGGAGCATTGGAGTGCTCACTTATGTCCTTCTTAGTGGCGTCTCTCCTTTCCTGGATGAAAGCGTAGAGGAAACTTGCCTGAATATTTGCCGCTTAGACTTTAGTTTCCCAGATGACTACTTCAAAGGAGTTAGCCAGAAGGCCAAAGATTTTGTATGCTTCCTACTTCAGGATGACCCAGCTAAGCGTCCCTCGGCTGCACTGGCCCTCCAGGAGCAATGGCTGCAGCTGGGGAATGGCAAAAGTGCTGAGAGCATTGATATATCCAGACTGACTTCGTTCATTGAGCGGCGAAAACACCAGAATGATGTTCGACCCATCCGTAGCATTAAAAACTTCTTACAGAGCAGGCTCTTGCCAAGAGTTTGACCTTGCTTGAAGTTCTCTCTCATTCTCTTTCACCTGCCAATCAATCAGACTGGAGATGGACTCCTCCTGCCAATCAATCAGACTGGAGATAGACTCCTCCTGCCAATCAGCTGTTGACTTGAATTTTGAGGAAAGCAAACCCCAAGCCAACCAGCTGCTAGTGAATGTTCGTGTGCAAATGCATTCCACAGGGACCCGCGCGGGGCGGCGCGGGGGACTGGAGATGCAGACTTCACGGGGGTGGAGGACAATAGCACTGTACTCTGCAAAAAGCAGTCACAAGCGATACAGCAACAGTATTTTATTCAGGTTTCTGCAAAAAAAAATAGTTTTTTTAATAAACAAGAGTTGAATTTTGCAAGTGAACTTAGCTACCGTTTTCAAGATTTATTCAAGGAAGAAATGCCTATGTTTAAAGCACTGGTGTTAAACAAAAATCAGATCATGCCTGGAGAAGACTCACCAAAATGGCTGCCCATTGGTACAGCCTCCATTTATAACATCTGGTTTTCACTTGGTCCTAGAGCTTTCCAGTTGCCTCGCCTGTATGTATCTCACGTAGCAGTGCACTGAGATCAGACTCTGCTTTTAAGTGCATCCAACCTCAAAAGATTTTGCATACAAATAGAATGAATCGTTTTGCTCTGATAAAATGTAGGCCTTACTTGTATATAGACTGTTACCTGCCTTCAGTCTGTAATTTTTTTCCCTCTCCTCTCATCCTTTTTTCCCCCCTCCTTCCTAAATGGTGGTATACCACTGTGCGGGTCTTCAGTTTGGGGCAGTAGTCACTGTCCCCCCAGAAAAGAACTTTGGGTTGGTGCCCAGCTTGCTGACCCAATTGTCAAGCAGTATACAGCAGGATGAAATACTGTAAATGCACTCATTTGGGATTTTGTTTTCTTTCATATCATGTGCAATGTTGTGGCTTTAACATTTTATGCAACTATTTATGAGGACCTCTGTTGTAACTGTAATAAATATATAGAAAAAGCACATACTTAGTACGGCGAGCTTTATGGTTTTGTTTGTGTGATTGGGGGTTCTGGGTGGGCATGGGCGGGTGTGTTGTACCACACTGTCATTATTAGTTTAAGATGAGGATTAGCATGGAATTTAGTCAAGACTAGTCAGTTTTAAGGATTGTTAAAAAGAAAAAAATGAAGAGAGAGAGAGAGAGATTAGTATCCCAAATGTCAAACTGGTTAAGAAGTAGAGTGACACTTTTTAAAATTATTATCATTATTATTATATTTAAAATGCCAAAGTTTGACTTTCCCCAGATCAGTCTCAACACTTCACTACTTTTTAGAATTTTCAAATCTGTTTTTTTACTTCTTTCTGTGAAATGAACAAATTAATCTTGTGGTCTTTGGTGAAGAATACATTCAGCAAGTAGCAGTCAGATGAGGAGAATTGGACATGTAATGTAATTGTCATAGTAACTGTTTTTAAGGTTGAAGTAATATTAGTGTGAGATATTTAAAAAGACAGAGATGGTTTTCTGTGCATCACTGAGTTCATGTGGGTGTGTTGTCATCTATGTTTGTGTGAAATGCCATGTTTAAGGAAACGAAGCTGACATCCCACAAGAGTTAGATATATGGGTGTTAAGCCATAACCTAGCTTGGGTTAGTTTTGAGATTTTGAGCTTTGTGGCTTCCACTGTATCCTATTTATTCTTTTTTTTTTTCTTTTTTTTTCTTTTTTTTTTTTGTTTGTTTGTTTGTTTGTTTTTGGGTTTTTTTGTAAAGTTGTACAGAAACTTTTTAAAAGAAAACAACTGACTTCGAAACTGGATGTGTATTCATACCAACCTCATATCATTGTTTGTGTATTATTTTCCTTTATTGTTTTAGTTAAATTTTTTGCTTTATTTTGCATGTATATTTCTTTGTACAGTGATGTTACATGTTTACACGGTATGACATGATGTAAATATTTTATTTTGCCATCAGTTATTTTGAAAAAAATTAAACATATTTGACATAATTGTCTGATCTCTTGCTTTAAGAAGTTTTACAGATTAGGCTTTGACTTTAATTTGGCTCTGTATTTTAAAAAAGTATGTTACTTTATTGCCATAAAAACCATTTTAAATTGCAATGATGTATCTTTCCTTCATGCCTTACAAAATAATATTTGCCTTTGCTTTAAGTGTTGACTGCTTTGTAGTTTCATGAATGCTTTTATATAAAACATGCGTAACTCCCTAACTGTGGAAATGTATTCTGGTCTTTATTAGCTAGTAAATTTTGACCAGTAGAGTGTTCTACCAGATGTTCCCAGTTAAAGACCACAGGATTGTATTTCAATATTTCAGAAGAACAGATTTCCCACAACTTTTAGGCATTTCAGATTCATTATGAAGAAAAGTTACTTTCAAGCATAAAGATTTGGGATTTGCAACTATACTCATAAAGCAGAAAAGTTTCTTATGGTGTATATTTATCTTCCTCCCTTTTCTGCCATCAGTAATTGTTTACAATTCAAAATTAAGTGAAAGGTCAGGGAAGAATACAGAGTGTTTATGTTTGTTGCTGCATTGTGTACAGAATTATTTTTTCCCTGCTCTTTTCTGCTATTCTCTGTCAGGTGATAAAACAGTCCCTTTTTTTACTTACTGGGAGAGACAACAGAGAGAGATGTTTTATGTATAGAAAGGCAGAGGATATTCAGGAAGGGCCTGTTCACAAGGATGAGCCACTGGAAGCTTTTTCCATCACAGGGAAGTAGATGGCTTTGTGGAATGGTTCTTGCCTGAAGATGTACTAAGTTAGGGGTAAGTTACCCAAGTGCTTTACAGACAAATAATGCACTTGTAGGTGTTTCAAGTAGCAGAGATGGATTCTTTGGCTCTCATGCAAACAGGAGTGTGCCTTTCTGGTCTTCTCCATCAGCCCCTTACTTGGGACAGCCAACACATTTCACAACAGAGTGGAGTTTTGCACAAAAACCTGCAGTTTGGTGCAAGAGCTTCCAGCTGCACAAAGCTTGAATTATAATCTTGAGCTTCAGATCTTCTACTTGTTAATCAATTGAAATGCTTTGAAGAGATAATACAAGGTCCTTCTGTTTTGCCAGATTGTGCAGTTGAGGCTGCAAATGCCGCGTGGACTTGTTTGGGCACAGTTGTTGCTGACTGTCCTGCACACCACAAAGCAGCACTGCAGGCTGATAGAAAGTGGAGACCAAAAACATGGGTCAGAGCAGCTGGTGTGAGGCCCTGATGTGGGAATATTGTAGAGCATAGGGAATGGCAGTCAATGTCACAGCTGAAAGGGGGGAAAATAGCCAGGGAGATTGAAGAGAAGACTCTTCAGTGTTTCTTCTTGATAACATACCCTAATCACTTCTTACTGATAGTTTAGGAAGAGAAGAGCTTGCCAGACTATCTCAGTGCATGAGACAGTACTTTCAAAGTTGAGTTTGGGAGCCCCATTCTTGCATGTGTAATGAGCACTGATTAACTTGAAGGCCACTGTGCAACTGCTAAGCATAAAGCCTGACTAGATATTTCCATGATCAGGGAAGCAACCTACATTGTCTTCCTAATGGGCAGAGCCCTGTCACATACCTGCCTATGCTCCTGTTGTCATTCTCAGATGGGACTATTTATGTGTTGATGAATAGAAGAAAAAATGATTTTTTCTTACTCCAAATCCAAAAGTATGGTCAGGCCAGGGTGCAACAGAGATCCTTCAGAATGACACAGCAAAAACATCTGGCTTCTTGAAAATGTTTCAGTAACCATGCAAACCTGACTGGTTGTGGAAGATGCCTGAAAACATAATGGGATGTTCTTTGCATGTACCACACTGCATGACACTGCCAGGAAGCTTTAAAACCCCACCACAGAGGGTGTCAGTGTGGGACTCCATTTCAAATGGGGTTGGTGAGTAAGAAATTAATGTTACCAAGGATGCCTGACTTGAGGTTAAGTTCCATGGTTCCCAAAGATATTAAGAGAAATGAAGACAGGGATATACTGAACTGCCAGCTGTGGGTAGTGAAATCTCAGAGCAGTTGGTATTTGGTGAAGTATTTGTTCAGGCAACCTTTGCTGCTACAGCAGTGTATCCATGTGCTAGGGATTAGTGTAGGGAGTGTTACCATGTCAACTCCAGAAAATGAGTTAAACTTTATATACATTTTCCATGCATGAATAGAGTCAGTGTGGAGGTGTTACTAATGTCTCTGGTTCTTCCTACCTCCCCATGCACCTGAATGCCTATAGCAAAGACCAAGTTTCTGTATTTGTTTAGACGAGCTCCAGGTATTGTGGTGCTTTTGTCAGAACCACTGCTCTATCCCTCAGACAAACAACTTCTGAATTTCTTCCTTTCCTAAAATTAAATCTTGATGAAGGTTATATTGGAAAGCAACAGACAGGTTTTCCATCTGTAGAATTTCTGCTTCCAGTATTTTTTGCACATTCATATCACCTCATGCTGGCAAAAGACAAAAGGCTCTTTCATTGTGCATTATAATGCAGGAGCATGATGATCTCTGTGTTCTCTGTCCTTCCTGGCAAGTAGATACCCAACCCTGCTTCACATGCCTGGTGGTCACCTCAGCATTTCCCAGGTAACTGCACTCAGTGGTCCTCAGTGCCACACTGTAACACTGAGCATCAGCACAGGAATGGCATCTCACATTTCACTGACCTGCCACAGGGACTGGGAGCCTGTAGTGCAGGAGCAGGAGAATATACTTCTCTCATTATGTTGTCCTCAAAACAGGAACGCTTCTCATCTCCTCTAAGTCACTGCCCTTAGCCCTATCCAGAATTCTGGGGGAATGGGTCTGGAGGGGCAGTTTGGGATATTGAGTGGAGCAGTCTGCTCTCCCCCCAGGTAATGTCAGGAGAGCAGGCACCAGGCCTACTGATCATAAATTCCCACCAGCCAGTCTGTGCCTTCCCATAAAAGACAAAGCCATTATCAACCAACCCTAGTATGAGAAGAGAGCACATGCTTCCAGTTTTCTTCACTGGTTGTAGGTTAAAGTGATGAAACAGGCTAGAAATACATTTGAGGTTTAATACAGAGATTCTTTGAGCTCTGTACTGAAAGATCCTTTCATTGTCTAATTGTCATGAGCAGTAATCTGAATGCTCCTTTTAAAATGAATTTTAATCTTAATATATGCATTTTCTTGACTGCTGGCAGGACATTTTGTCTTTGGTGCTCAAGGAAATGTGAAGATGAGGTACTTGAGACTGCATCAGTTGCTGCTGCTGAAGCTTCAGTTTCCATCATTATGCCTGTGGTAATATATTGGTTCTCAAGGTTCACATTTTCTGAAGGAAAATATCTTCTATCCAAAGAGGACACATAGCTATAGAAAGGATGAAATCTTAACACCAAAACAACACTTCAATCTCTGTAGGCTGAATTTTCAGCTCCCAAAAGACATTCTGTCCATTAACCACCCCAGTGTATCCTCATCTGTCATACTCAATGGTCTTCCTACAAAATCATGACTTTGTATCTCATGGAAGAAAAGTCCATTGATATTTACTTAACACATAATTGTTGGTTTAGAATAGACGTAAACCAGTGGTAGCCACAACTTTGTGTAACAACAGGTTATGAAGTTGAGCTGTATATTGTGCCAAGAACCCACTGGCATCTTTCTTTGATATCTCTGAAGCTTTTAATGGTCAGTTCATCCCCCCAACTTTTGTGTTCTACCTTTGCTTTTATGTCTGCTACTTACTTTTCATTTGGTCATCTGTTTATCAAGCTGAAGAGTACCAGTCTGTTGGCTCCTCATGGGAAGGTGTTTCTCATCTTAATTGCCCTTTTCTGAACTTTTCCTAGTTCCAAGTTGTATATTTTCTGTGATGGGAGGAGGCAAACTTCATACAATAGTTATGATACAGGTGCATCTTTACTTACACAGCTGGAAAATGGCAATTTGTTCTCCATTCCTTTTCTAAAAATTCCAAGTGTTTGACTTCTTTTGAGCTGATACTTTGTAGATTAATAAAT